TAATGATAAAAAAATAAGATCCAATATTATGAAGGAGGCACTCAGGCACTCACAATCACTGCAGGTGAGAGTATTAATTACAGTCTAATCTTTATGAAAAGCAATTTGGCAGCAGGTTTAGTGTTTTTTAATTTTTATGCCCTATGACCCAGTAATTGAACTTCTGGCAATCTAACCTAAGGAAACAGTGAGTGATCTGTACAAAGATTTATGCATCAATTTGTTCTCATTGTTTTTCACTTGTTAATAATATTGTAACAATTGAAATACCCTAGTACACACGTAAATTATGCAACAGCAACACATTAGGTCATTGAACATCCATTATAATTGTTTTCAAATAATTTTGATGCCACTGAAAATTATGACATAATGTAAAGTGAAAAAGCAGATACAAAACTATATCTACTACAATAGGATGAGCCCAATTACCTGTGTATGTCTGTGTGTGTGTGTGTGTGTGTGTGTGTGTGTGTGTGTGTATGTGTGTGTGTGTGTGTGTGTGTGTGTATCAAAGGAAAAAAAGACTGAAAGGAAATATACCAAATAGTTCCCACTGGAACAGATTATGGAATATTTTGCCTTCTTTATTTTTCCTCAAGTTTTCTATAATAAGCATATGTAATTCTTGTCTTCCAACTATATATGCATATTTGTCTATGTGAAAATAAGAATATGAAATGAAATATGAAAGTTTCATATGAAATTTTATATGAAATATGAAAAAAGCTTCAAAGCAAATCAGCAAATCACTCACATGGAGATGTTAGTTGAAATTGCAGAAATAAATCAGTCTGCACAGGGAGAGAGCATTATAAGAACAGGATGCTAAGCCAAGGCAAAAACCCATACTTAAGGGGCAAAAGACTGAGTTAGTGAAGGGGCATGGGAGGAAGTGGTTAGACTAGAAGATGGACAACCAGGTAAAGTCATGTCAAGAAAGCCAACTAAAAGAAATAACCAAAAAAGTTGTCCACTTGGTCAAGTGTTGCCAAGTGGTAACTAAGGAGGACAGTGACAGGGCCATTCCAGGGAAGTCACTGGGTAGGACGCAAGGACAGACAGGTTTCCTCCAGTGCTAGAGGTGGAAGCCAAATCTGAGCAAATGTTACCTAGTCAGTGAAACTATGAGGAAAAGAAGTCCCAGGCCATTTGTTTAAATTTCAGTTTATGTGGGGAAAAAAAAGATTGTGGAAATCTAAAACCGAGTAAAAGTATATCCGGATTACTAATCTATGGGCAATGAAACAAAAATTGGCAATACTTCGGAGTGCAAGAAAAAACATGTTTGAGGGTTTGTGAAACTTTCTAAACTCCATTGGAGGATGAATAAGAGAAAAAATAGCTCCATACTTGTTATCAGAAAAAAAGTTGCATCTTTTCACCCCTAGAGACGGAAGTTCTTAGTTTCAGTGTAGCATTATGAAGAAATTCTTTAAAAGAAAATAAAAAGAATGTAAAATATGATGGTATCATGTTAACTTCTCATGACTGCACATGTGAAGTCTCTAGAAACATTTTCAAGGGTGAAGAAATCATTTGACATGCTAAATAATGGACTGCTTGTTGGGTCAAACCATGTCCTTTTAATAAAAAGAGGTCTCCATTAGAACAGTAACTTGACTGGGTCTCAAGGACTTTGCATCCAGCCACAGAATAAACACATCGGTATGGTTCTACCAAGAGTACCATTTACCACAGAATCTCAGTTCCACAATCATTAGGAAACTACTCAATTTACAACCACTCATTTGTTACTAAAGAACTTTAAGAGTCTGTCTTAAGTAATTTAACATCACCTGGAGATTACTGTACACAATCCAAAATAAAGTACTTTAACTGCCTATCACAAAACATAGTGAAAGACCATAGAAACCTTAAGAAAAAAAAAAAAAAAAAGCTTTTTCTTATGGAAATTCCTGACTTAGGGACCAAGTCACACATTTTCCTATCTGCAGAAAGAGTGCAATTCCAATCTAAATAAAAGTCACCTATTTCTGAGCGTATGGAAGAATACTGAAAACCTGTTCTGCTGTCAATATAGACTGATGAATTCTCCCAATTTGTGGTTAGGTAGCCTTTTATGGCAAAGATGTCTAATGATCTCCTGTGCTCTCAAAATTCTTTTGTGTCTGTGTGTATATGTCTTTGGTGAACCCTTCTGGTACAGAAGCCCTAAGTCAGTTACAGTTGATTTTTGAAGAATATCAGAGGAAAGAGAAGAATTTGAAACCCCAAGAGGAACAATACTTAAAATTGAACTTGAAAGTATTTTAAGGGAAAAAGATAATTGTTACAGATACCGAAAATACATGCAAATACTGACTGGCTTCCCAAAAATTCCCAGTGAAACCACTTTCCCAGAATGTAAACAGAAAGAAAGGAGGTAAGTAATTGTCAAAGAAATGTGTCCATCGAGTACCATGGCTCAAATTACCAAATGAGACAACCATCATCTGTTTTATTAACTCAGAATCTCTATTTAAAAATGAAAAACATAATCATATAGAAGGGACTGTATCATGTTCATCCTCTATATACTAGATCACTGGCACACAGCAGGCAATTAATAAAAGCCTGAAGTTACATGGAAAGCGCTTAAGACTATCATAGACTTCAGATCATAAAGCTCTGCAAGGAATCTTCAAACACTTCTGACCCTTTCCTCTTTCGCTCATTTACCCATCCTGTCTCCCGTCAGAAAGAAAGAAAGAAAGAAAGAAAGAAAGAAAGAAAGAAAGAAAGA